TCAATCGCCTCTTAATTTCTTACTGAATCAGGTTTTGATTTGTTATCGTCATTCCCAAATATCAGAACAGTGCCACATTTTCAAAACCTCTGTTTCCCATATAACCATCTACACTATCACCATGTACAAGATATTTGGTGATATCATCTTGATTTCTTCATATTGTTAGAGTAGTTTATTAGCGACTTGTTTGTTTATTCGTCCTTGTGTGATTTCCTGCTGATGTTTGATATGTAGGCTGATGATGTATGTGACTGAAGGATGGAAGCGTCGTTAAATATTTCAACCATACGCAACATGGAGCTGCAATGCAGAATTCAGAACATGTCCTTTCCCCTTTGCTTGTGCATTATTCCTTTTTTTTTTTTTTGTGTGGAGAAACGGCATTAAGCATTATAATCAGGTAATACGAAACGAGAAACAAAAACGAAAACATCGATATAACAAAGGAGAGCATAGTCAGGTTTCGTCTGCCATCTATTGACGAAAATGTTCCCTGCAATCTGCGGCTGTCTGTGGCCGAGAATGTGCGAAAGGTCATCTACTGGACTATTACGAAGTACAAGGGAATCAGTGGCCGCCGTGCAGACTGGACCCAGCTGGACTCCACCCCTCCACTAAGCGACGCGAAAATATACCACTGGAGGTCGCGGTGCAAGGGTCGAGAAGGCCCACCCCTTATACATTCATTCATTCAAGCGAAGTGAAAAGGGCGCTAGAGCAGAGTTTGTTCTCTCTTGTCATCTATTGTCCGAAATGTTTTTGCGATTGTTTCTTTTTAAATTGTAAGGAAAAAATGTAAATACAAAAGAGGCCTAGGCAATGCCCATCCGGCCTTTTTCGCTTGGTAGGAAGATAACAGTGGCTGCCATCTATCAACCAAATACAGAAGTACATTGGTGTACGTAAGCGGAGGAGTACAGAGAAATTTCACTCCGTGGTAGTGGCAATAATATAGTGTATTTCATTTCATTGTCAGATGTTATTCGAGTAGTTCCTACGTATTGCGGAGTTGTAAGTGAAAGACAAAGTTGTCTCTGTGCGTACCAATTAAGCACTACGCAATGAAGGTGTATGGGGAAGTGGATTTATAGATCCACATTTTCTCAACCTCGGCGCTAGCTGGAGGTGAGTGGTCAGCTTCACGCCCCTGCCGCTTTACCCCCGGGGTAAGAATTCACTGTACCCATTGGGTGGACCCCAGAACCTGTCTGGACAACATGGAGGAGAAAAAATTCTTGATTCTTTCCGGGACTCGAACTCCGACCACTGGGTCGTGTAGCCCTAAGCTAGTCGCTATACCAGCTAAGCTATCCCGGTTCCTATGATGAAATTGTATTTCAGTTAATTGGTGAGTACAGTGAGTACGGTGTCCAGAGTTGTAATGCCGTGTAAGTCAGAGAAGGCCTGACGTTTCGGAGGAACATATCGCACTTATTTATAGTGTCAAAGAATAAACCAATCAAGAAATGAGCAGAAACATGCAGCAGCCTGCTGTAATGCGTTACAACCCAGAAGATTGTATTCTTCATAATCACTTCCATGAGAACTTCAGTAGCAACACGGGTTCCTGAAATGCCTCCATATAGATAGTAAGGAACAAAATCGAGTGACCCATTATAGTAAGAGATTAGGGTTAGAAATGCCTAAGATATAGGTAAAAATTCTATAAAATCAGAATTTCAAGTTTGCTTACAGGCCTGAATGAATGACTGTGGGAACAGCATTAGTTGCTGAAGATGATAATGTGGATTCTCCATACTTTGCTGATGACAAAATGATTGAAGCTTAAAATGAAGTTTATGTTGCTTATATGATAATTTCTGAAGGATATAAAAAGCTATACCCTGAGAGCTATACCAGCGGTAGCGTAGCTTCTGGCAGGGCCTCCTCTGCTGGACAGGTCAAAGGGTAGGCATCAGACGAAGAGAGATACCAAAAACCAAAAACTGATGCCGGAAGCAGCGTCATCAGCAGCGACTTGAAGCACAGAGCAAATGATGCTCGAGATGGTTCAAGTTCGTATAGCAACAGGCGTGACCAGAGTGGTTTGAACGGCTGTTGTACTGCGATGTGGAAAGCAAATGGAAAAACTACCACATTATCACTTTTCCTGGATAGTCTCTTTCCAAAAACAGAAGATCGCATTAAGTGGAGGAACTGTTTTGGAAGAGACTGTGGACCTGTCGTCTGACAGATTACTGATGAATGAAAGAATTTAAAGTGGGCATTAGGAAAAAGCAATATCTTGCCGTAGATATTTCCAAGTAGTGGATCTAAGAATTGAATTACCTTTCCATTTTCAATTATGAAGGGTCTACCGTCTAAGCACAAGCTAGTAAAATGATTGCAACAAAATAAGAAGAGGACAAGATGGAACTAAAATGCTAAATTCGGTCTTGTATAAGTATAAATACAAATAAAAAAACAACATTTACTTCTTTATTGAAGAATGGAGCAGTTCATGAGAGAAATAAATAAATCGTTACCATAAAAGCCCGAAATATGGTGAAACCTAGGATTTACGCGCCGAACCTAGGTTTTACCAGAATTCGGGCTTATGAGGTAACATACACAAAGGAATTAAATTATAAGTAACAGAAACGGGGATTGGGATTAGATGTACGAAAATTCTTTCCTGATAAGGCTCGGAATCAGATGAGTAGAGAAGAGACTCAAGTATACACACTGTAAAAGATCGGGTAAACGAAAAGCAAATGGTGTATTATAGTGATATTCGTCGAAGTGGAGGAAGTCGTTTGCAACGCTGGGCATTGAAGTTAACCCAGAAGAATGCCGGAGAAGAGGCAGATCATGACACATGTAGACTAACGATCGTGAGGATATAGCGCTGCCTGAGAAACATCTAGAAAGTCGTGAAAACATGGAGCACGGAATCCGTAAGGACGGGGGCACATGAAGGAAACGGGCAACCGCAATTTCCGACAAAAGTTTTCAGCCTGAGTTGAACACATGTTACTGAATGGAGCAGCGCAAAATTGAGGAAATGGCAACGCAACTTGCGGAAAGACTGAGAAAATCAACTTCCAGGCAACGGAGCAGGCCAGTTTTCTCATAATTAGGTTGCCCCGTGATTTCCTAGTGTCAGCTGTTCTATAACCCATTTCAGCTTCTTAAGATGTCACGAAAGGTTGACATAGCTACTAATTTTGTTTTTGTGCAGTTAATTGAGCAAGAGCCTGGTGTATATGACAAACGCTACCCAGACTATGTAGTTACTATGTTAGTAAAGTAAAAAAGTAAAGTAAAGCTATCCCTGTAACAGGCCGTGAAGGCCCATAGGGTTGTGAGACGTTAAGGGTCCCACATTACCTTGACAATCGGCTCAAAGATGGCGGTAAGGTTGTCAGTCTTACGCGCCGGCCGCGCTTCCCTCCCCAGGAAAATTACTTAATTCCTGGTACTCATTTCTGTTAAGAGGCTGAGTAAACCCCAGGGCCTAGTGCGGCCGGAAGGATTAGGTCAATTGAAAAAAATCCAATGACCTCATCGGGACTTGAAACCGCGACCTTCCAGCTTGTAGCATAGTACCTTAACCACTACGCTACCGCGTATGCCCCCCCCCAAACTATGTTAGGCAAGACAAAATAGATTTGGCATGGGAAAGAATTTCTCATAAGACGATGGAGTCCAGATCCAGGGTTCTTTCGGAACAATATACGCGCTTCAGTTAAATTTTCACAGAAGAATGTTTATTTTCTTTTCCTAATATTGTATTTAAGCATCCTGTTGCACTAATATTTCACATATATTTCCGTCTTAAATACAACTTATTATAGCCATCCTCCTTCCACATTACAGGGTTCTGCTATACAGAGTGTCCCAGAAGGAATGTGCCAGACTTCAGGAGCGTGTTCCTTATGTTAAACTATGCAGATAGAACCCAAAACACCTATGTCCAAAGTTGAACGGTTACGGAGATAATGGCCCGAGAAAAGTGTGGTCTTCTGAAGGGTCCACGCACTGTACCTGTCAGCTGGCTACTCTTATCTGTGTTTGTCCTTGAGTGTGGTGATGGCAGCTCACGGTAGCCCCATAGACTCGCATACCAGAACGCGCAGTCAGCAATGTTACGTCAGCGCTTGCCATTCATGTCTCACATATAGTGCTTGGAACTCTTGACGACAACTTTGACATGGCGTGCGAGTTTTTTGTAGTTCAGTTTAATGGCTTCATGTCACTCACAAGTTAGTTTGATGTTACGTACATTATTAACATTACAGAAACCACATATTCCTGCCAGTTTTAATATGTATTTGGTAATCAACATGTGTGTAAAACCTGTCAAAGTTTCACACTTCTCTGGCCATTATCTCCGTAACCGTTCAACTTTGGACATTGGTGTTTTGGGTTATATCGGCATACTCTAACATAAGGAACACCCTCCCAAAGTTTGGCACATTCCTCCTGGGACACTCTGTATATGGCCATTATCAGGGGTCTTCTATCTTACTAAAATTGTTGCACTGTATATAAAAATTTCGTATAGAGTGTGAACGCGATATTTCTTGATTAAAATAAATTGACCTTAATTAAAACAAATTAATTAACATCCCAATATTTTCCTTATGGTCGTCGTCCTCTCTTCTCACGCCGTCTCAGCCGTTCTCAACTATCACCGTAGGACCAGTATTATTCTCTTCCATTGCAAAAGGTAAGTGCACGAAATTAAAAAAAAAATACAATTATGCATTAGGTCGAAAGAACATACCCATTGAAGATGATGTGAGCAATAAATCAAACATGAGTTTGCTCAGTGTGCGCCTGCTAATCTGGAAACCAGTTCCCCGCTTGAAAACTGCGATTTTTCAAGGAAATTGCGGTTGCGTTGAGGTTGCGAAGTGACGTTTGGCTGCCAGGCCGCGCCTAGATATTTTACTTTGTTGTAGTGGTAGTCCTGGTCAGGCACACAGTATCTTTCGAAACATTGTCAGATGTCGTTCTGATAGTTTCCTTTTCTGACGTCAGCAGGATATTCGTTCATAATTGGTCAGTTCGGGGACGAAGGTCGCGAAACTTCTGGAAATTATTACATAGCACATATTTGCAGGATCCGTTGTTGAAGTGTGTCGTTGGTTGAACTTTTAATTCGACTTGTGAGCTGTGTGCACTAGGTAAGGAACTCGTGGTTCAGAAGAAGGTAAGAGACTATTAGTGTATTTGAAATTGCTTCTACAGCCAATGGTAAAAGTGTGATTCACAGATACCTTGGACATTATTGCTGCTTTACATATAATATTAAAAATCATGTTTAAAAGAACCATAATCAATTTATAGTTCTGTCGCCACTGTTTTTGGAAAAATTTGGTGCATGCTGGTTGAAAGTGTGAATGATGAAGCCATGATTGTACTAGGCCTTTGTACGTGGAGACTTCTCGCAACTTTACGAGGGAATGGTAGAAAATAAACCGAACTTTAATCCAAAGCATTCTTATTACTTTGACAGGGAAAATCTATTAATGGCGATTAATACGAACTTGGAACAAGAGATAGTATGAATATTCATTAAACAAATGTGACTATCGTATTTAATCATATTGACTTCCGGAAGTGGAACCGAAGTTATTTCAAGAAAGGAAGAGACCACATATTTCGGATTTGTTACGTAATAGTACATTTTCCAACTCTTTGTGATTATTAGGTTTTTTTTACCATTTTATCCTTTTTCAGAATATTTTTAAAATATGCTCTGAGGAATTTGAAATTTGAGTAATATTTGTTTGTTGTAGTATTGACAGCTTTGTATCTTGACTAGCCACCCTTCAACTTAACCAGTTTGGCCGATTTTGATAAAACATTTTGTATAAACGTTATTGCCTTGGAAGCCACCTTAACCCTGTATCTTTCAGTTTCCCTCGTGTGTTGTATCAACATAGAAGACAGGCTTTTTTTTGAGGGGAGCCAGCACTGTTCGTAGGACCCCGAAATAATATTAAAAAAATGTGGAACTATCTTAATGGCTCTTTTCTTTCGTTAGTGTAAAACAACATGGCTGCCATTGAAATATTTTGTTTTTCTTTTTGATTACCCCATGGTTCTGTGCATGTGGAGCTTGGTATTCAGGTAGATACCTAACATGCCCACAAATTGTGTATAAGATGAGGACAGTCTTTTGGGTTGTAATGTGGCATAGCTCAGAGAGAGCCTGAAGTTTCAGAGGAAAATATTTTTTTTTTAACCTTTGGGACTGAAGATTATGTCTAGTGAGAAACCAGCAGAAGCAGGTGGGATGTTGAACTTGCATGGCTTTGACCCTGAAGATGGAGGTGAATGGAGATCAGGCACCATACTCCTCATGGTCACTTTGAGATGTCAGATCCATATAAAGTGTTGTTTGTCAAGAATCGCGTGGTCTGTGCAGATATTGGAGATTATGTCCAAATGTAACAAAGCCAGTGTTGGTGCTTACATGATAAGTTCTGTGAAAAGAGAATGATATTGACAATGACAATACAGTTATAAATGGTAAATTTCAATTTTCAATGATAGGCATTGTTCTCGACTATTGCATTCCATGGAATAAGTAAAATTAGTATCCTATCAAATGCAGTGTTTCTTAATAATAAAATAAAGCTTTAAAGTATTTTGCTCAGTGATGGTCATCATAAGCTAAAATAATAATGAATATAGTATGAAAAATACTTAATATGAAATATGCATTTATATGTATGAAAATAAGAGCAAATATAAAACTGAATAATTTATTATATTTGCAGATGACACACTGGCAAGGTTTTACTCAGTCGAAAAGTTCAGTAATTTTTAAAAACTTGTTCTAAATAGTGTTCTAACCCTTACACAACAACACATGCATGTAATACACATCAAACATTTCATTTAAAGTGTTAGTTGCCTTCTGATGATGGTCATTATTTTCCAAAACATGTAATTCTGAACTTTACTCAATTATTAAAAAAAAAATTGTTGCATTTGATGGAATTTAATCCTGATTTTGATTATGATAAATGCCAATTTGATCAGGATTAAAAAACAAAACTACCTAAACCATTATTGCGTTGTACTATTACGGTACAAATTTACTTATATATTGCTTCTGTAATACAATATTTAACACTGGAAGACACTGATAGGAAGGTGAACTTAGGGATTCTGCCTGACACTTCTTGTATTTTGTATACATAAGGATTTTGTCATTGAATTGTGAGGAATATTAAAAATCAATACAAGCAAAAACTGCAAGTTGTCCTGATTCTAATAGTAGAAACCAACTGTTCAGTACTGATAATATGACAGCTACCATTACATTTACTACTGAATTAGTTCCATTGTTCATCTTGGTCTTTTGATGTGGCTGCTTTCAGAGGAGTTTCCCCACAAAAATTTTGTATGTACTAATATTTCTTCTAGTCACCATTTGAGTAACATGACTGGCCTGACAGTTGGTGTTTACATATCCGGATGGCCTTCATATGCCAGTGATTTAAAAAATATCTTGCTTTTAAGCTAGGGCAGTGAATACGATGTGGTACCCAAAAGAAACCGAACTAATTTTTTTGTGGGCAGAGCTTTTGTAGTGCCGCGTTTTGCCGCTATGAGTGCATAGAGCTAACATTCCTGAGTCGATAAGCAGACTGTCGTTGCTTCAGAAGGTAAGGACTAGTTTTGGCAGAGTTTATAGTGACAACTGTTTTGTGTGATCGTCATTTTTGCAATGGCTGATTTTCATGAACAGCGTGTGGCGGTGAAATTCTGCTTTTTGCTCGGGAAAAGTGGAACAGAAACT